CCGCCGCCACACTTCCAGTCTCCCGGGGCAGCCCCCCAGGGCGGAGGCGGCGGGGACAGCAACGCCAACCCTCCACCCCAGTGTTCCTTTGACCTGACGCCCTACAAGACGGCGGAGCATCACAAGGACATCTGCCTCACGGTCACCACCAGCACCATCCAGGTGGAGCACCTGGCCAGCTCTTAGAGATCCGTGCTGCCACCCCCCGGGGCGAGGAGCAAGCAGCTCTGGTCCCTTCTCTCTCCGACTCCGCTTGGTGGGAAACATCCTCTTCCTCCTCGACAGGCCTTGGCTCCGCCTCCTGGGCCTCCGGCCCGGCTTTCCTTCTCGAGATAGCATCCTTACTCTCAATGCCTCTCCCAAAGGAACAGCAGCCCTCCTGATCGACAAAGGAACACTGAGCTGGCGGTGTCACACAGCAGCCTCCCCTCCCAAGCAGAGCTTTTAAGACGGGGTTGGTGCTCAAGGGAAGGATGTGCTGTGACCTCACAGAAACTGGTTCGGTGTGGGCACTTAACCCTGTCCTTACCCTCCTCATCCTCCAAGTTTGGGCCGGTAGGAGACTAGAGGCTGGCCCTGCCAGACAGCAGAAAAGGGAGCCCCAAATGCAACCAGCCTCCTGTTCTGTTCTTGCCTGCAGGAGAACAGAGGTTTCTCACAAGCCCCAGCCCTTAAGAGCCATTTTCTTCCCCTATGTGATCTCACTTCACTTCCTGGCAACTGCTGGTAGAAGGAGATTTGAGTAGGGATTAGACCTCCTTTCGTTTGTGAGGGGGCAAGGGCTGAGATGTGGTCCCCAAGGGGCCAGAGATTCCCACGTGGTCACGTGTGGCTTAAAAGTGGGTTATGGTTTCACTGATTTCCTCGGAGCCTGTCCTCCGTTGCCAGCCTAGGCCCTATCGTCTTGGTCTCCCCAGCCCAGCCCCCCGGAGCTGTGGGAGCTTTGTGTTCTCCAGGAAGCCCCAAAAGAAAGGGTGCTGCAGAGAATGGAGAGTTCAGGGCAAACACAAGGACTGGACTTAGCTCCCTAGGTGCCACGGTCAGATGCCGGACACGGATTTATATATAAATATATATATATAAATATATATATACCCACTCATCACGGCCATCTTTGTTGTAACCATTTCTGTGTTTATAAATGCATTATCTCTGAGAATTTTCATATTTGATGTTTTGGTTGTTTTATTTTTCTTTTTTTCCTCCTCCACCCTGTCCTCTGGCCACAGCATTTTGATTTCTTTTCATCTCTTTTTTTTTAATCGTACAGATTTCAGAGAAAAGGAAATTTTAAAAAAATCAGGAAACAAGTTGTTATAAAGCAATTTAAAAATGAAGAAAAAAAAAACTTATGTACAAACCAAGGGGTGTTTTTAGAACATTGTATAGAAATAAATTCATGTAAAAGGATCAGAGGCAGTGGAACTGCTGATGTGAATGAGCATGGGAAAAGCTATTTGGGGAGACGTCCAAGGACAGTGCTGAGGATTTGCACCAGGGTGTGTGTGTATGTGTGATGAGCACGTGCTTGTGTGATGAGGCGCCATGTGTGAGTCCCCAGAAGGTGCAGTTTTGGAATCTCAAGCGCAGGCCTGGTTTGTGATGATTTCTACATACACATTCTGTCGTGAGGTTTGCATTGCCAGCTATGGGAGAGCAAGGTTTCTGTCTATGTTAACAAAACAGCTAAGCTCCCAGTGGGGGAAAAGTCTGGCCTCTTGGAAGGACCTGTACTCCTGCCTAAGCCTTGCTTGGTGCACGGACTCTGTCTAATTGCAGTTGGCCGTGTTTCTATACGTATGTCCGTTATCTTGTGGCACCTAAAACCAGAGGTCTTCAGTGGTGGCCATCATGACTGGCTAGTGGGTGCAGGGTTGTCTGATGATGCAGGACGACTGTGGTCCTGAGGAGTGAGATGTGCTTAGGAACCCGGACTTTAGCTGTGGCTCTGTCCATCAACCAGTGTTAGCCAGGATGCTTCTTCAACTGTTAATGAAGCGACTGGACTAGACGACTTCTGAGATACCTTTTTGAGGATTAAAAACCCTGCTGTAAGCACTGAAAGAGTTGTGACGTGGCTCCCACATCTGAGAACTGGTAGTTTTCTGGGACTGCTGGCCAACAGCTCATTTCCTGATTGGGTGTGAGTGAAGTAATGCCCACTTAAATTTAGGGCCAGGCTTAGCTGGGCATGGTGGCGCATGCCTGTGGTTCCAGCCACTTGGAAGGCTGAGGCGGAAGGATGGCCCGAGCCCAGCAATTCGAGGCTGGGGTGGCCGTGAGTGTGCCATTGCACTCCAGCCTGGGCAACGGAATGAGGCTCTGACTTCAAAATAAAAAATTGGGGCTGGGTGTCGTGCGTGGCACCTGAGATTGTGTCTCAATATGTAGTGTGATACCGATGTGTCATATGTGGCCAAATAGGCCAATGTTTATCAGCTTCCTGGATATTTACTACTGCTTTTGGCCCATTCCTGCCAACTCTTGAAAAGGCCTGGACAGCCCCAGTGTCAGAACCAGAATCGACTCTTGTGGACACACTCGCACTCATTGCACCAAGCCTACGCGGTGGTTACTATTACTATTACTTTCGTTTGAAAAAAATGGGCACAGAGATCAAATTATTCACCCAAGGGCATGACTCACGTGAGGAGGGTGAAGGCCATTTGCACGCTAGTAAACCTGGGGTTTTACCTTCACATGCTTGATCGAAACCATGAAGCTGAGTCTGTCTCGTGTTTAAAACCTGCCATGAGGCTGGGCAGGGTGGCTCAAGCCTGCAATCCCAGCCCTCCGCGGGCAGAGGCAGGAGCCTACGGCAACATAGCGAGTCCTGTTTCTACCAAAAAAAAAAAGCCGATCGCGGTGGCGTGGTCCTGTAGTCCCAGC